CCTGACAAATTATTTTAACCTCACCTGATCCATGCACCAGCAGAGAAGGCGGAGAATTTGAAGTGCCCCCTTCCAATGCAATTTCTTTGTAAGCACAAGGATCCTCCTGAAAACTGTCACTAGCAGGGCCAAAATCACCCAAATCCTGAAAATATTTACTAATAAAGCAAGAAATTAAAAAAGGAAGACTTTGAAACCAAGACAAATAAAGTAAACTAAAAGTTGCTACACCAATTATTACAGACAATTTTAAAGGGCCAAACTGCTAACTTTGCCCTGTTTATCTAGACGAATTGCCGTAAATAAAATCTGAATTAAAAAATACAACTAAAACAAAATTTTCGTTCATCAGGCAGATAATTTTGACATACTTTCAGCCTTTCAACCAATAACTTTCCTAAATTAATTTTGACAGTGGAAAACATGAAAAGCTAATACCCAGAAAGAAGTAAGTGGCAAGATTTGTTGAACATAATGATTTTGCTGTGTTATAAGTAGTGAAAAAAACTAATGTGAAGCCGACACTTCAGAGAACGCGATAACCGATAAATTTCCAGTTTTAAATCAGAGACTCGGTGTGTGATTAGAGCTTATAAGAAGAGGTTACTTTGCTACCTGCTTTGATTGCGCTGTTTCATCTGTACTCCCTAATACTGACTGTTATGGCGATTAAACGAAGCTTCATAAAGTAAAAGCATAGTTTTAAAAAAGTTAGAAATTTAGTAAATACTCAACAAGAGGTATATGCTACCGTTGGAGCTTACAGGAACTTTAACGAAACTGAAAGCCTTAAACGGGGCAAAAGATGCAGTTTTTGAAGCAGTAGATATAGAATTAGAAACCATGATGTTAGAACAGTAGGCACAAGATTAGTGGAGTGAAAAAGAACTGTTACTAAGACAATAAAAACTTTGGCTATAACATTAACCAACGCATCAGTCGCCTTTGTCATATGTTCAAAGCTTTCTAAAGAAAAAACAAAACATTTGATCCATTTTCTTACAACTGGCGGTGATTTATCAGCGACATTACGGTAGTCACTGGAGGAACCTCACAAAAGACGGAACTACCTCAAACGGATGACAGAGCAAGAGTACGAGCAAAGAAAGAACAAGGACGGAGGGGGGGGGAGGAAGGGGAAGGCAGGGGTAAACTCTGATTCAAAAGGGATACCCACATCTCTTATAATCTTATTATACCCACAAAAGCGCGAAGAAGCATCAAAGTCCACAGCGCAACACACGGCGTGCCTTTTCGGTGGCAGAGAACAATAAAATAACGACTGCCAGAAAACTTCTAAATTAGCACGCAGATTTTCCGTCACTGATACTAGACGTGTACGTGGACAACGTCTTAAATCAGATTTTTTAGCAAGTGGGACCGTACATGTGATAAAAAAGATACCAGTTCCCTGTGATCTCAAAACCAGTCTCGTCACCTTTTCTACTAGCCAAAGTAAATCACCATCACCTGCAGCAATAGACGTGAGTTAAACAGAAAGCCAACAAGAATCTCGCTTTTATCCTTGATTTGGAACAATGTTCTTTTATATCACTCACTTTCTTGTTAATTTAGAAAGCAAAGATGAGTTTCCAGTTTACTATACTCCTTTTTTGGCGGGAATTTCAGTAATAAACGAGAGAGGTTTAACGTTGTGAGAAAGCTTGTGATGCAGTTCCTCATTTATCACGTTTTTGTTGTGCATTATATACAGAGTTACAGATTATTCATCGGATGGAAAAAAGTTAATGCTTGTTAAGCGTTGGCATGTAGTGTCTGATTTTCTAATGAGAACTGACTGTTTGTCAACGGGAGTAGGAAAAAAGCTGCTGCTGTGGCCTGTATATTGAATGAGCCATTCTGCACGCGTTACTTTATATTATTCGCTTCCGTGGAATAATTCCTCCGTCGTAAAATAAGCCTCATTCAAGATTTTCCATAATAACTAGCAATTCGAGCAGTGTTCAAATTAAGGCTTTTATAAAAATTCTGCTTCTCAGAGACTTCTAGTTAAATACAAAATATAGTACAGCAAGAAAGTTTAGAAGAAAAAGTAAAATTAAAAAATTTTCAAAACAAATGTCTATTTCTATGCAATTGAGGAAATGAAAGAATAATGTGAATCAAACTCTGAGTCGTTTCGCAGGTCATTTTAAATTTGAAACAGCTTATATGAAACTTTTAAAAATTCTGTAACCTCAAATCCGACGTCGTCAAAAGCCCTGTTGGGAACGCAAACTGGAGCTGAAGATGAATTTTTGGCGACACATTTGTTATGACAAATTAAGAAGCAATGTGTGCAGCGAGTTGCTGATTTGAACCACACCTTTCCGTGACAAATCGCGCAGTAGGACGCTTCAAAACATTTTAGAGTACACGATAAAGGCAAAGAAAAAATTTGTTTGAGTAAAACAGCATAATTTAAAATTAGTCAAATATTTCTACAAGAACTGTATCGGTAAGAAGACTGCAAAATATATACAATAAAAAACTATTCTATTAGCAAAAAGCATTCTAAATGGTGACGTCTTTTACCAAAAAAATAATTCTTGACTAAATAAAAGAAGCACTTTAAAAAAATTAATAAAGTTGCTTACTCAAATAGAGAATAAGTGGAAGAAGACAAAAAGCATTCAAAGCTTAAAGGCAAATACAACTGCTCTTTATTTAGTATTGTAAATCTACAATTCATCAAAAAAAGTGATAAACGATTTCAAAATAAAGTTCCAAGAAATTTATGGAACTAATGCAGAAAAAAACCTTTTTAATGACATTTTAACTGCCTAAGCATAAATTATTCAGAGAAATAGTAAAGATTAATAGTTATTCAGAAGAAAATAGTATTAATGAATTTCCGATTAGAAAAATAATTGAACTAGTAACCTACTAGTCTTCAAAACAACCGGCTGAAAGTCATGACGCAGTGTTTCACCTGAAATGGACAACGAGCCTAAGCTGCCGCTTTCTACTATCTCCATTTTTTCTTTAGGACTTTCATCATCACTAAAAACGAAAATTTCAAGGTAAAAAGAACTATAAATTAAAACAAAAAAGCGGTCAGGACAAAGTTTTAGTAATTGTCAACATTATCTACAGAGAATAATGAAAATACAGTCAAGAATATTAGTAAAAATACAGTTTTAGAACTATATAAAAAGCTGGAAAAAAACGGTATAATGAGCAAATCCTACAGCGAAACGTAACAAAGAAAAAGTTGTTTCTAAGACGCTTTTTATGATAAAGAATTATTTTAATTAAACAAAAAACAGAAAACTTCTTCAATTCCACATGTAGATAAGTATACAGTATGAACCATATTGAAACAAAAATGGATCTAAAGTATAAAACACAGAAATAAGTTTTTTGAAATAAATTTTTATAAGCTATATGATAAAAGATAGAAAATTTCTCCAAACAAAAAAATGTTAAAAGAAACCAAACAATTTTAGCCATCAGTAAAAAAAATTTTTTTCCATAATATATCAAAAAATAACAAAAATTCTTGCAGACCCGCAGACAGGAACATAAATAATACTAACTTACAGATACCAACAAACAAACCTTGTCTCAACATCCAAATTCATATTTGCT